TTTCTTAGTACATGAATCTTTCTTTCTAGTATCCTCAGTGGCATTTCTTCATAGGTTAAATCCTGTTGTACATCTAAATTTTGATGGTTGATCACATTACTAGGGTCTTGTAAGTATTTGCGCAACATTGATACGTGAAAAACATTATGTACTGCTGAAAGTTCTGGTGGCAGTGCCAATCTATATGCCACATCTCCAATTCTTTCTAATACATCAAATGGTCCAATGAATCTTGGTCTCAATTTTCCTTTCTTTCCAAATCTAAGTACTCCCTTCATTGGAGCTACTTTTAAAAATACTTTGTCACCGATTTGGAACTCAAGATCTTTTCTCCTTCTATCAGCATAGCTTTTCTGTCTATCCTGAGCAGCCTTAATTCTATCTCGAATCTTATCCACAGCTCGTACTGTTTGATCAACAATCTCGGGTCCGAGGATTCTTCTTTCTCCAACCTCATCCCAATAGATAGGTGATCTGCACTTCCTACCATATAATGCCTCATAAGGTACCATGCCTATAGTTGTTTGAAAACTATTGTTATAGGCAAACTCTACTAAAGGCAAGTGTGTTTCCCAGCTGCCACCGAGATCTAGTACACACGCTCTTATCATATCTTCGAGTGTCTGAATTGTCCTTTCAGATTGTCCATCAGTCTGTGGGTGATATGCAGTACTAAATTTCAATTTTGTCCCCATAGCGTTTTGTAGACTTTTCCAAAATTTTGACGTGAATCTCGAGTCTCTATCTGAAATAATAGAAACGGGGACCCCATGTAACCTGACTATTTCTTTAACATAAACTTGTGCATATTGTTCCATGGTAAATGTCATCTTGACTGGAAGAAAGTGGGCTTACTAATTATATTCAATAGAAATCCTTGACAAGTATTCTTTCTCAACATCTTTTGTGCTTTCATTGCAGATACCAATCGAGGTAGGGTCCCAATTTTTGTTCCAAAGAATCGAAGATTTTTTTCTCCAGGTTTTTGAAATAAAACTTCCTTCTTATGGCATAAGATGGTTGAATAATTTCTACCCAACCAGTCCATACCCAAAATTACATCAAAGTCTTTCATCCTCAAAAGGTACAAATCTGCCTTTAGTACTTTTCCTTCGATCTCTAACTTAACATCTTTAACCATTTGATTGGTATTAACCACTTCGCCTGAGGGTGTATTAACTTCTAAAATGTTATTCATTTTTACGAATTCACGCCCAATCTTATCCATGAAAATTGTAGAAATAAATGAATGAGTGGATCCAGAATCCATAAGGACAATAGCAGGTACGTCAGATACTGGTGTATTACGTCTGTGTTCTGATCCTCCTTTTCTCCTGTCAAAGCAAATACTCTGGCCTTTCCCTTCTTAAGTTGGTCACCTTCTCTCTTCTTCTCTAGACATTCTTTAAGGAAATGACCACTCTTACCACAAATGTAGCATACTTCCTTTCCCTGAAGACATTCACCCAAGTGTCACTTATTGCAATTGGAGCATTGAGAAAAAGTTTTATTTGAGTTTGACCCAATCTTTCCTTTCTTATTCTGGTTCTTACCTTTCTCCTTATCATGACCTTGCCACTTTCTCTTTATAGACGACTCGGTGCTGGGTTGGGTTTTCTTTTCCAGTCCTAAACCATTAGAGATTACTTGTGCTCGACGCACAACCTCTGCATAAGTAGTATACTGCTGGGCTGCCATGATTCCCTTGATCTCTGGCCTTAACCCCATCTCAAACCTTTTAGCCTTTGTCAGCTCAGTGTTTACCGTATGCGGTGCATAGCTAGAAAGTCGTTCAAATTTTCTTTCATACTCCCCAAGTGGCAAATTTCCTTGCGTGAGCTGGAGAAATTCTACCTCCTTTTGATCTTTCAGTGACTGGGGAAAATATTTACCCATCAGCGACTCCTTAAACTGGTTCCAAGTGAGGTTACGTTGTTGTTTTGTAGTTCTAGTACGTGTTTCAAACTCCCACCAATGTCCAGCATCATCAGTCAACATAAACTTTGCACAAGAAACCTTTTGAGCATCATTGCAGTTCATGTGCTCGAAGATTCCTTCAAGTCTTCTCAGCCACTCCTCAGCTGCGAAAGGATCACCTCTACCATCCAAGGACGGAGGTTTAAAGCGACGAAACTGTTCAACAATTGAGCTCATGGTGTTGGCACCTCCTGTTGCATTATGAGGTGTCGCTTGAGCCTGCTGTCTGCCCAAGTCTTGCACTGCCCTTAGTAAATCTCTGAACATAGTAGCTTGATCTTGTTGTCGTCGTGCCATTTCCTTGAAGTAAAAGTAATTTATCTTAAGAACTGCTCAACCATACTACACTCTTCCTAAAGGTTTTTCTATATTTAGTCATGTCTTTCGTGTATGTTATGCTAAGGCCAAGTGTTATGCACTAAGGTTCTAGTCATATAAGAATTGCTTTACTAATCATACAATCCTACACAAAATAATCATTTGCTTAATTAACATTCTCCCTTAAAGTAAAATGACGTGTAGAAAAAAAAATCATGCAATTAACTAGTATGCACTGAAATATAAATATCAATAAAAATATTCTTCATCCTTACATACCTTAAA